TAGTATGATCGGTTATGTTATGTGTTGTTGTGTTATGTCATATTATGTAATGCCATGGTCTGCTCTGGCATGTCCTGTTATGTTAAGTTGTGTTGTATGTTGTCATGACATTGCTGTGTTATGTTATGTCATGTTATGTAATGCTCGTGTTATGTTCTGTAATGTTAGGTTGTGTCTTGTTGTGTTATACCGTGCTCGTCGCCGCTACGTTCTGATGTCGTGCTATGGTCTGTTACGTGATACTGTGTCATTACACGACCTGTTATGTCAATAAGTGTTATGTGATGTTCGGCTATGTTATGTCATGTTGTGGTCTGTCGTGTTCGTCAAAGGCGCGAGGCGGGATGTTCGGGACAACTTGGGGTCAGGCGGCCGCGGTATGCAGGGTGGGGTTGGCTGGGCGCGAGGCGGGACACCCGGCATTCTCGGGACACTCGGGACAATTTGAGGTCTGGCGGGGTGGGGTTAGCCAGGCGCGAGGCGGGACACCCGGGATGCTCGGGATTCTCAGGACATCTTGGGGTCTGGCGGCCGCGGTGTGCAGGGTGGGGGTGGCCGGGGGGGCCTGTTCTTGAAATCTAACAACCCCAACCTGTCGGGTGGGAAACAACTTCAACACGCATGGATTATCAGCATGTGTGCCACAGTCACGATGCATATGTGAGAGCATGTGAGAGATGAAGCGGGCTCCCGCTTCACGTGGTGTAACAATTTCTTGGCCTTACCTTTCTGGCTTTGTCGGTGCGGAGGGCTGCGTCCTTGTGCCCCCAGGGAGCGCACCAATACATTTGTCCTTTGGGCAGAAGCTCTACAGGAGTGTTTCCCGTGTGGTCTTTTTCACCTGCAGCGACCTCGGGCGGACACCCCTCCGCCGTGGTGCCTCTACAAACCGAAGACATCGCCAAGTCGCGCGGTGTTGATGAAGCTTCTGTCTTGTGAAGTGCTTGTGGAGAAGGGCGAGGCTGAAATTGCGCTCGGACTCACTGCATAAACGCATACACGCATATGGCGACGCTTGCCTTTTCAGAAGGGCACGCAATCACAGTGTTGCCTGCTAGGCGCAGATGGATGCGGACGGTCCAGGAGTATCGCGCGTTGCGAGTGCGCAAGAGCAAGCGAAGCACTGTTCTGACCAGCAAGGTTGCTGCAGCCACGACTATTCAAAGCCAGTGCGACCAACGGATTTGCCAGAATCAGCTTCTCACAGCCGTTGCCAACATCCATGCGCTGCGGGACCGCGCTCGCGAAACGTTGAAGGCGGGCACCCTTCGAAAACCCAAACAGAACTTGAGACACAAGATGGCCTCCGAGACGGCCGCGACGACCACATTGTATGAGCCAGAGATGGCACCAGGAGAGTCGACGAGGTTTCCAAGACGCTCGAGAGAGCCCCAGGAAGAGGTCCCAGAAGCAGCATTATTCAATTAGTTCCCCATATCCTAAGTATGGGGTCTTCTGATTCGTGCGAGGTCCCCGCCTTCCTTCATATTCAGACTCACGCTTATGCACCGATAGCCATCCACATTTGGATGCACGAATACTCTTGGTTCTCTTTTACTCGGATCCACCCATGCACATACCAAGATATACAAAGACACGCTCATGCTTCGACTCACTCGCACTCGGGCTCACTCACATTCAGACTTGCTCACGCCCAGTCAGTCGCAGGCCCACTCATGCTCAGACTCACTTCCGCTGTGTGTTCTATGTCCAGGTCCACGATCATCGCGGTGCGGCCCTTTGCGCCTTCAGGGACAGCTGCCAAGGCGCAGGCTCACTCATGCTCAGACTCACTTCCACTCAGTGTTCTATGTCCAGGCCCACGATCATCGCGGTGCGGCCCTTTGCGCCTTCAGGGACAGCTGCCAAGGCGCAGGCTCACTCATGCTCAGACTCACTTCCACTCAGTGTTCTATGTCCAGGCCCACGATCATCGCGGTGCGGCCCTTTGCGCCTTCAGGGACAGCTGCCAAGGCGCAGGCTCACTCATGCTCAGACTCACTTCCACTCAGTGTTCTATGTCCAGGCCCACGATCATCGCGGTGCGGCCCTTTGCGCCTTCAGGGACAGCTGCCAAGGCGCAGGCTCACTCATGCTCAGGCTATGTCCAGGCCCACGATCATCGCGGTGCGGCCCTTTGCGCCTTCAGGGACAGCTGCCAAGGCGCAGGCTCACTCATGCTCAGACTCACTTCCACTCAGTGTTCTATGTCCAGGCCCACGATCATCGCGGTGCGGCCCTTTGCGCCTTCAGGGACAGCTGCCAAGGCGCAGGCTCACTCATGCTCAGACTCACTTCCACTCAGTGTTCTATGTCCAGGCCCACGATCATCGCGGTGCGGCCCTTTGCGCCTTCAGGGACAGCTGCCAAGGCGCAGGCTCACTCATGCTCAGACTCACTTCCACTCAGTGTTCTATGTCCAGGCCCACGATCATCGCGGTGCGGCCCTTTGCGCCTTCAGGGACAGCTGCCAAGGCGCAGGCTCACTCATGCTCAGACTCACTTCCACTCAGTGTTCTATGTCCAGGCCCACGATCATCGCGGTGCGGCCCTTTGCGCCTTCAGGGACAGCTGCCAAGGCGCAGGCTCACTCATGCTCAGACTCACTTCCACTCAGTGTTCTATGTCCAGGCCCACGATCATCGCGGTGCGGCCCTTTGCGCCTTCAGGGTCAGCTGCCAAGGCGCAGGCCCACTCATGCTCAGACTCACTTCCAGTCTGTGCCCCATGTCCAGGCCCACGATCATCGCGGTGCGGCCCTTTGCGCCTTCAGGGACAGCTGCCAAGGCGCAGGCCCACTCATGCTCAGACTCACTTCCAGGCCCACGATCATCGCGGTGCGGCCCTTTGCGCCTTCAGGGACAGCTGCCAAGGCGCAGGCCCACTCATGCTCAGACTCACTTCCACTCAGTGTTCTATGTCCAGGCCCACGATCATCGCGGGGGCGGCCCTTTGCGCCTTCAGGGCAGCTGCCAAGGCGCAGGCCCACTCATGCTCAGACTCACTTCCACTCTGTGCCCCATGTCCAGGCCCGCGATCATCGCGGTGCGGCCCTTTGCGCCTTCAGGGACAGCTGCCAAGGCGCAGGCCCACTCATGCTCAGACTCACTTCCAGTCTGTGCCCCATGTCCAGGCCCACGATCATCGCGGTGCGGCCCTTTGCGCCTTCAGGGACAGCTGCCAAGGCGCAGGCCCACTCATGCTCAGACTCACTTCCAGTCTGTGCCCCATGTCCAGGCCCACGATCATCGCGGTGCGGCCCTTTGCGCCTTCAGGGACAGCTGCCAAGGCGCAGGCCCACTCATGCTCAGACTCACTTCCAGTCTGTGCCCCATGTCCAGGCCCACGATCATCGCGGTGCGGCCCTTTGCGCCTTCAGGGGCAGCTGCCAAGGCGCAGGCCCACTCATGCTCAGACTCACTTCCAGTCTGTGCCCCATGTCCAGGCCCACGATCATCGCGGTGCGGCCCTTTGCGCCTTCAGGGACAGCTGCCAAGGCGCAGGCCCACTCATGCTCAGACTCACTTCCAGTCTGTGCCCCATGTCCAGGCCCACGATCATCGCGGTGCGGCCCTTTGCGCCTTCAGGGACAGCTGCCAAGGCGCAGGCTCGCTCATGCTCAGACTCACTTCCACTCAGTGTTCTATGTCCAGGCCCACGATCATCGCGGTGCGGCCCTTTGCGCCTTCAGGGACAGCTGCCAGGGTGCAGGGCCACGGGCCCGCCCGCGCCCAGGCTGCCGAGCACCTCTCGGGCAATTGGCGTTTACTAAACAATTGGCGTTAACCTCTCAGGCAATTGGCGTTTACCTCTCAGGCAATTGGCGTTCACCTCTCAGGCAATTGGCGCTTACCTCTCAGAAACTTACCTCTCAGGCAATTGCCAGTACCTCTCAGGCAATTGCCAGTACCTTTCAGGCAATTGGCGTTTACCCATCAGAAAAACCACCCAGACCGGACAACTGGCGTTTACTAAACGGCCCCGGGCGTTTCCTAAACAGCCCTGCCCCGTTCGATTCCTCCTGTGGGTGCGTTTGCGAACCGGCCTCGCGCGTCGGGGTGGTTATCATCGGGGTGGATTTTCTGCCCTCTGAGAATGGAATGGTTGCTTCGTTTGTGGTGGACGCGTCTCATTTCGTATAACCCCACTGCCATCACAGCGCAACAGGCGTGGCACTCGGACCTCTCGAGGGGGGAGCCCCTCCAGCGGGTATGGCACAGGCCCGGTCGCGCGCCCAGGTTGGAGGGGCGTTCTCTCAAAAATCGGGGGCGGCAAAGAGGGGTGTGATGACTAAAGGGGGGGTGGATATCATGGCGGGGGGCCATGATGTTTCCACAGATTTCATGGTGCCTCTTCTTATTCCATTACGTCCCTGGCCCCCCCGCTGGGCCGCGCACATGCCGCCGGTCATGATTTGCGCCCCCCCCCCTCTTGGACGCCCCCTTATTGGCCGCCCCCGAAAAAAAGAAAAGGGAAAGATCAGGGGGACATCTCAGGCAGGCAGGGGCCTCTCAGCACAAGAATCGCCCCAGGCAGTGTTGCCCTCTTTCTCTCTCCCTCTGTGGGGGGTAGGCTCGTCTCGTGCAGAGAAAGGGCGGCGACCCGATCGCGATGTTCAAGGTTGCTCGCCACCAGTGGCCCGGGACCGGCCGATGTGGAACGGTTCGGGGCGCAAAAGACGGGGGTCAATGCAAGCGGGGGTCGGTCTGAGCGCCGGGTTCTGCAGGATCCTGCAGGGCCAGCGGCGCCCTGACCCGGGTTTGGGTCCAGGATCCTGGAGGATCCTGCAGGATTGTTCAGGAGGCCCGACTGGCCTGGGTCTGGACTGATCCGGGTCGGTCGATCCCCGAACGGTTCTGCGCGATCGGCAAGTGGCGATCAACGACCCACGCGGTGTGATAAACAAATGTGCAAGATGTTTTCCACACATTTAAAGGGTTTTGTTCTCTCTCTCTCTCTCTTTCTTCCTCTGTGTGCTTGTCTCGCTTGCGTCCTGCCAGGCGCAGAAGGCGGCCTGGCACAGCTTCTGCGACGCCAACACGAACGGCACGCGGGCTCTTTCCAGCTTTCGCGGGCTCGGCTGTAGGCGGCCAGGTTACCCCTGTCTTTTTCCATGTGCCTGCGTCGATCCAGCTGCGGCGAAGAACGAAAACAATTTCGCGGGTGACAGCGCGTTTTCTGAGCATTCATGCGCCCGTTGACCGTTGAAAGCCACGCGTGAATTCGAGTTGAAGCTGCGGGCAACCTGTGGCAGCTGTATGCGTGGATACGACAATCAGACTGGGTCCTGCCCTGCCTGTCGCCCTCATGCTGGCCCTCGCGGGGGGCGTTGCAACGAGAGTCTCCTATCCAATCTGATGCTGTGAATTGCGGGAGCCTCTCGGGTCCTGGGCCTGATACGGGGCGCCTGGGGGTGCTGGAAGGATGGATGAAGATGAGGAAGAGGCGAAGGACAGTGGAGGAGAGTGGAGAGGGAGGGAGGAGTGTGGAGAGAGAGGGAAGGAGAGGAGTGTGGAGAGGAGTGTGAAGAGGAGTGTGAAAATAGAGTGGAGGAGAAGGAGGGTGGAGAGGGAGGAGGTTGGGAAGGCGGACGGGGGAGGCTGCGGAGGTGGAGCCGCGAGCCCGTGAAGCGACGCGTTGAGCCAGAGGCTGCTGCTGCTGCGGAGGAGGAGGAGGAGGACGAGGACGAGGAGAGGAGGAGGTGGTGCAGGTGGATCAGGAGGAGGAGGAGGACGAGGAGGAGGAGGACGAGGAGGAGGAGGAGGAGAGGAGGAGGTGTGGCAGGTGGATGAGTCTGACGAGGATGACAAGGAGCGGAACGGAGGAGGAGGAGGAGGAGGAGGAGGCGGAGGAGGAGGAGGAGGAGGAGGAGGAGAAGAAGGAGCGACAGTTCGAAACAGGTTGGCTCGTGCGCTGCAGTGGCTCGGGCCAGGCTGACCACGGAGGGCGACGAGAAGGCCGAGGAAGACGGGGAGGAGGAGAGGCCCCGTGCCTGCCGAGGCATGTACGACCCGAGCCGGCTAGATCCTGGCGTCATGCAGATGCAGGGAAGGCTGCGCCCCTTCCGCCGCCCCCTGCTCCGGCCGGGGGAACGTAAGCCTCGAGCACGCCGCAGCTCGACAGCTGGTTCTGGTGTTCGGACAAGTTCTGGCATGCGCAAGGCGTTCGCACCAGGGCGTGTCTGCGATGTGCGTGCGGCCGCACGCCGTTCCCGCGACAGGACCGAGAGGTCACGGCAAACGATACGCTCCGAGATGCTCCCAAGGCTTCCAGGATGTGCCGCACCGGTTGCGCCGAGAGATGCTCCATTGGACCGGGGAAACGTAAGACTCGAGTAAGCCGGAACTCGGGTTTGCCGCCTTTTTTTGTTCGACGAGCGCGTCCTGGGGATTTTGACGGTCAAGTTTTCGTGGGATTTCTGCTGCGGGAGCTCGCGTCAAATTTCAGATCGGGCCTCGGCCTTTTCATGATAGCACCGTCGGACCAACCGGAGTCCCCCGAACCCGAGTTTTGGGTCTCCCCGATCCGAGGCCAGACTGGACCTGGCTTCCATCTCCACGGCCTCTGCAGTCAAGCCGCACCAAAAGGACTGAGCAGCTTCCCAGGGGCAGCCCTGCATCCTTGTCTCTCGGCCCATCCTGGTCCTCGGCCCTCAGCCGTGGGCCGTGGGCTTCCAAGTTCGGCTTCAACTGGGTGGCCAAGGGCCTTGGATCCCAACCGCACATCCACATGAACTGGTAGCATTGTACCCCGAGGCGTCTGATGAACCCCTCCCCCTCCCTTTTCTCCCCGTACATTCCCTCTCCCCTGCTCCGATGTTGAAGGATACCCCTGGGGGCCGCGTCTTGCCTCAGGAGCCCCCGCGGATGTCTCTGGGCGGCCAGGGGGGAAGGGTCGGGGTCCTGACCTGTTGGGCCAGAAACACTCCCCCAGAGAACAGGAGAAGGACGAGTAGAAGGAGGACCGGGAGGAGGATGAGGTGGATGAGCGGCAGCAGGAGGATGAGGACGGCAGGAGGACAAGGAACGATGGAGGAGGGAGGGTGGAAACAGGAGGAGTGATGGGCATGGGCATCTCTTGTGCCCCCCCAGGATCGCGAACGTTCATACAGATGTTCAGCGCATCGATGCAATCCAGGGGCCCCGGCTCCCGCGCGCGAGAAGCAACGCACCCTTCGCGCCGTCCTACCTCGGGGCATGCCAGCCGCGCGCCGACATCGGGCCTAGCGAGGTCCACGCGTGGCCCAGGACTGGCGCGTAGCAGGCGGGGACCGTGGCGCGGACTGGAGGAGGAGGATGAGGAGGAGGAGGAGGAGGAGGAGGACTGACTGACTGACTGCCACCTGGAGTGCCGATGTCGCCTGAACGGTCAAGAGTACCGCTGCGATGCTCATCAAAAGCAGGTCGAGGACTCGAAGCAGCGCCTCGAAACTGAAACCCGCGGCACGGCGAGCCTGAGATGGGTGCCTGTCTAGCGGGCGGGCCGCTTGGCATGGGGCGGCGCCTGCGGAGCCATCGCGGCTCCAGGTTCGCCCACGCGGACCCCGACGCATGGGGATTCCACGGGGGACATTCTCTGACTGACTGGCGGCCAAAGCGGCACACATGCACAGAGAGCGCGAGAAGCGATCGGGAACAGGAAGAGATTCCCCTGCACACAGGGCACGAGAAACGATCGGGAACAGGGGCATATAGCTTTACAGCCCCTTGAAAGTAACATCTGCAATCCCCCTTTTCAGCGGACCACGATGGCTTCCAGGAGTCAGAGCGCCAAGAGACCCTACACAGCGAGAGGGGGGGAGGGCAGAATGGCGGATGATACTCAGGCAGGGAGACGAGAGAGGAGGGAGGGACCACAGCATCACTGGTTAGAGTGTTCACTCCTACGCGTGGGGTTTGTACTTTGACTGGTGCCACTTCCTAGCCTCTTCGAGAGCTCGAGCGCTGGTGGAAAACGCTTTATTTATAGAGCTATATGGCAACAGGTTGCGAGACGCAAGGTGCATATTTAGCATACGAATACCACTCTCTTCTCTGACTTTTCCTGCTCCTCCAAGAGTCCCTCCACCCAGGCCTGCATCTCCCTCTCCACGAAAGTCAGCGGCGCCTTCCCCTGCTTGCGACGGATGTCCGAGATCTGACTCGGAGCTCCGATGATGATGAGGCGGAAATTGGGGTCACGAAGCGAAGCTGTCAGTAGCTTGATCTCTCGCTGATCGGTTTTGTCGATTTTGCAGAACAAGATCATATGCATTTCTGGTCGATGTTCCACCCCTCCATTTCCCAGATTAATTGTTTTAGATCCTGGGCCGTCTTGGCCCCTATGCTGTAACCCTTCTCCTGCAACGCTGATGAAACTCCTCCCCCCCATCGCCTGGATTTGAGGCGGTCCCAGCCATGGCAGGGATCCAGAAGGTGTCGAGCACGCAGCCCATGACTTCTCGGTTATGTTGGGAGACGTGGAGCAACTGTTTTGACCACGAGGCGCCGCTGGCTCTTGAACATCTCCTTCTTGCACTGCGCTAGATCATGATATCGCTTCTCGGAGTGTTGCTCGTGCAGTCGACTCTTGTTGCGCTCGTCGAGGGGGCCGACAGCCGCGAGCGCGGGCGGACGCAGAGCCATCTGCGAAGCGAACTGGAGGGGGGGGGCCGTACCACAAGATGACAGCCTCGGGGGCGGGTGAGGTAGATAAACTGCGCAGATATGGGAATTAAGCTGAACGCTGTCGGGGAATTGAGCCTGGCAGATTTTACAAGCCCAGGGGTCACGCGCAATCAACTCTCGAACCATGCGTGCACGATCCATCTGGCATCGACCGTACCTGTGCGCCCATCAAATATGAGATCGCGCAATGTTGACCAAGGTAAACGTATTCGAGCACTAAGGACTTTATTTGTGACTATAGTAGCTGATACGGCCAGATCGTTGTCCATGTGCACGATGTGCTAGTAGCTGTGTGTATGCAGTGATCTTCCACATGCACGTAGTGCTTCCCATGCTATACCATCCACAGACCAAGCAATCACCCTGCCCTCCGTCCGCATAGACAATATCAGGCTGAAAAAGACAATGTCGCGGATAATGTTTGGATCAATGCGAAGAAACTCATGGCCTGGCCCCGGGTCTTCCTCGAACAAAGTACGCGAATCTCCTGCATCCTGCCATTGCACAAAAACTCCTCAGCGCCATTGAGCCCCTTGGACATCTCGAGATCCGCGGCGAACTGAACTGCCCAGGGATTGGAATCTAAGCGGAGGCGCCGCCTTGGGGTCCAACGTAGTGCGTTCCCCTCCGAAGTGGCCGAAAATAGCTGTCAAAGTTTGTTTGTTGGCATGTCGGTGGCGGAACATCTGTTGCAGCCATCGGGCCCGACATGCGGCCAGTTCTCCTTGAGACGGTAGTAATCTCCACTCCATGAACAGCTCCAAGGTATTCAAAGTTCGGGGGTTCGTCCAAGTGGTGGCAGACCCACGCATAAATACTTTGAGGTACTTGGCTACCGCCGAGTCGACGCGCGCATGCTCCGACGCTCGTAGACTATAAGCCCCAATTCCACTAAGTCCGCTCCCTATGACCACCCCAAGAAATATTTCACGGTTGAGACGCCTGAGCCCGCGCTCACTCCAGAAACGACCCACGAGTGCCCATCGCCGTTGCGTGGCACGAATGCGATAATCAATTTAGACCGATTTATGTCCGCGCGCGCTATAGCGCGCACCGAACTGTCGAGCATAAGGCCGGGCGATTCCACAGCCCGAAGGGCAGAGCTGCTGCAGTTGTTTACTAAAACGATCGGAGCAAAGAGAGGAAGCAATCTCGTTATTACGCGTGTTCTGTGTGAGCTCCCGCGCGCCGTGCCGAGTACCTTGTTCATTCCCTGGTCGCCTGCTGTGATGCGTGCAAGTAATCCAGGGACATCTGTGACATCAAGAAGCCGTTTGCGGGACGCAGCATCTGCGTAGCCAGCTACAGAACAGTCCATCGCGCCTACTTCGCCGACCTCGCGGTCGAAGGAAGGGGCATGCGAGGGGGGGGGCGATGCGCTCGTTGGCGCGCCCATCTAGCACTCCGCGATCTGCTGAGGGGCTGCGCACGCAGGGGCCCTGTAGTCCGCCACGTTTTGTCATGAAGTGGTGCACAGGCCCCTCCCGCTCAAAGACAACGGTGGTATTTACCATTCGCTGTTCAGCAAAGACTTG